CTTCATCTGTATGCGTTTATGCGCGTTTCTTGTGTATTGAAGTCGTTCGGCTCTGGAACTTCACTTAAGTATATAAAGACTGTTTATTTTACTGTTAATTGTAATTAATTCTGATTTATGGTAATTACTATATTTTGGGATGTTACATTAGTGGTATCAGAGCAGTTTTGTTCTTTTAAGGGACATTGTAGGTTATGAGTGCACTGTGTTTTTGCTGTGTGCTTATTGTATGTTTAATGAGTTATTATTATTTTAACTCTTGTACATAACTAACGCTCGTTTTTCTCTGTGTTCAGAGAACAAATGGCACCTAGACTACCTCCTCCACCACAACCGAATGAGCCTGACACGTCCAACAACGCTAGGTTGTTGGAGACGGTAATTGATATACTACAGCAACAAAATACAACGTTAATGGAGCAGAACACCTCTTTGATGCGTCAAAACCAGGAAGCCATGCAGGGTTTGGAGGCCTCACGTACCAACGCTGAAACCACACAGAGGCAACTGTTGGAGATTCTTGATGCCACAAGAGGTGTGCCTGGAGCATCCTCTTCCAACGCTGCCCAACCTGCTGCTGAGTGGAGTTTGGAGAGCTTCCTTCAGCATCACCCTGCCAAGTTTAGTGGGAAATGTCTTCCGGACGAAGCCGATCAGTGGCTGAGGGATATGGAGAGAATATTCAATGCCAAAAGATGCCCGGATGAGAACAGGCTAGCTTTCACCGAATACCTTCTTACTGGGGAAGCAAGCCACTGGTGGGCAAGCATGAGGGCCATCTTAACGGACGCTCAAAATCCAATTACTTGGGAAGTATTCAGGAGCAAGTTTTATGAAGAATACTTCCCTGACAGCGTTCGTTTCGCCAAGGAGGTAGAGTTTCTGCAGCTCGTTCAAGGTGGGATGTCTGTTTCAGAGTACACCAACAAATTTAAACACCTTGTCAGATTTAATACAATGGCTACCAGTGAAGAGTGGCAATGTCGGAAGTTTGAGAACGGTCTAAGGAGTGATTTGAATGTTCTGATTTCAAGTTTGTGCATACGAATGTTTCCTGCCATGGTTGAGAGTGCCAAGGTGTTGGAGAAGAACATGGCAGAAGCTGAACGACACAAGAAACAACAAACAGTAAGGGGACCGATTGTCTCAAGGGGAAATGTCAATCAGAGGGGATCTCCTTACGGTCGTCCAAATCAGTCAACAAACTCGAGTGGGTCTCAAGCCTTGGTCCCTGCCGGACAGTCTGGGCAGCAAGGTAACGTTACATGTTTCAAGTGTGGAGGGCCGCATTATCGTTCGTTCTGCCCTCAACTAGTTGGACGAAAGCACTGCAACCGATGTGGACGAAATGGGCACTTGGAGAACGAGTGCAACATGGGTGGACGATGAGTGATGAGGCCACCAAATGCTGGAAGAAACCAACCAAGAGGTGGTCGAGCCCAAGCAGTGGGACGTGTATATGCGATAACGAGCGCTGAGGCAGCGAGCTCAGGTACACTCATCACCAGTACCTGCTTTGTTTATGGAACGCCTTGCTGTGTGTTGTTTGATTTTGGGGCGACGCACTCCTTCATCTCGAAGGCGTGTGTTGAAAAACTGGGAATAGTGGAGAGAGAGATGCAGTTCGACTTGGTGGT